AAATGCAATTACAAAAACAAATATAAATGCAATTACAAAAACAAATATAAATGCAATTACAAAAACAAATATAAATGCAATTATAAAAACAAATATAAATGCAATTACAAAAACAAATATAAATGCAATTACAAAAACAAAAACAAATACAAGAAAGAAAAAAACAAATAAAATGTAATTACAAAAACAAAAACAAATAAAAATGCAATTCCAAAAAAATAAAGTGCAAGTACAAAAAGAAATAAAAAATAAAAGAGCAAGCGCAAAAACAAATAAGACAAATATACAAATACACTTTCCTCCACAATCACTAAGAAATCTGTCACTTTATTCATTCTCTCAATTAAACATAATTCCCTGACGCTATCCACCTTTTGGATTAAAAACATATCGCTTGAACTATCAACCCTTGATGCACTTGGACGTATTGATGCAGATTGTTAATGGGGCTTAAAGGCGAGATTGGAATAAAAGCTCAAGGATAATGTCAAAATTTCGAATAATTAATTGAACTTACTAATGGATATCATTATTTACAGCTATATATTCCAAAATGCGTTTTTGTGTCAATCTACTGAATATTGGGTCGAGTCATCGCGGTGAATCATCTTTGAGGCCCCGTCCATACGTATCCTGATATTTTATAAAACAGACTAGTCCATATATAGCGTTTTCGAATCGTTCTCGCCAGTCCACACGTATCCGTTTTCATTTCGCAAAGTTGCGTTTTCAATTAGTGCATTTACGGATACCGTGTAAACCGGGAAGGTCAATCTACAATAAAAAATTTCTGTTTTCAAAATTATCTTGATGCGTGTGGACGGGGCCTTAGAAGCCAAAACCTGCACAAACTAACAAATTTGACCAGCAAATGCATCCATTTTTGTATATCAACACAAATTATGCCTTATCATTGCTCTACTAATCTCACTAACGAGCAAAGGCGAATACTATTATTTAGTATGCAGAAACTGGACAGTGTATGCTGCAAATAGATCAAAAAGTTGAAAAAATTGATAATCGAGATAATCTAATCAGAATGTACGATAAAAACCATTAATAAAGGATTATAACTAATGGGGAAGGCTGTTATTGTGTGTAACACTTTTCGGGAAATCCGTTTTTTCCGGCCCGCTAGTATCAACTTTAAGCAAACGCCTTTAATAAGCACTTTATCTAAAAGGGGTTAAGGAAATTCGTTACATTATTATAAACATGAGGTGGCTTAGGAGACAACTCAGTTTAACAGAAGACTGGAACGCCAAATTAGAAGCATAAGTTGTTACGTTTCAAAAATAAAAGAAAGGAGAGGCAAGGAAAAGCATGTAAATATGTACGCAGAAAGCACTGAGAAGGATTAGCGAAAGTTTTCCACTTTTATGCTTCAATCGCCTCCCCCATATTCAGGGCTTAATATAAGATGGTATTAAGTCACAAACTCGTAAAGCTGATACTAATTTGTTTTTGTTGTGGTCAGTTTGCCAGGTGTATTAAAATTATTTGATATTATATTCAAGTGTTTTTGTGCAAGGATAGTTATTAAAGATTTGAATTGTTTCTTCATACCAAAATTTTTCTCGAAAAAAAAATCCGAGCTCTTCAGGCAGTGAAACACTTTTGGCTTAGTCGCTCTAACCAACTGAGCTTCTGGAACTCATGTGGTGCGCGAGTGATGTTGTTTTCTTATTCGTCTTTCTACACGATTGTTTTTGTGAGTTGATTTGCTTTCCTTCGCTCTAGCCGCGGTTTTAGTTCTCGAGCTAAATTAATTTTTGGAACTTCACGGCAGTAGATCTTAATTATTCATTCCTGATTTTGTTTGCTTTTTATTAGAAGAAAAATACAAGCGAATATTCGGAAGCCCTGTTATTTATTTTCACATAAACATTTAACATGTTCACCCTACTTCCTTCGCTTCCCAAGCAACACACGCAAACTGAAAAAGAGAGGGAAACCATTTGACTTCCGGTAAAAGAACAACGCGCCTACCGGCGTGCGGGGATACACAGGGAGCCCATTTTAGAAAAAATTGAAAATAAACAAAAAATTTAAAAAAACTTTATACAGTCAATGTCATTAACGTTGTCCACCGAAAAAAGGCATTTACACATTTACACATTTAGACTAAAAGAAATATCACGTGTTTCATTATGTATTCTTTGCCTTGCGTACGTCAGCCTGAACCGTTTAAATGTAAAATTCAGCTCGTGAATCGAAAATCCAGAATGCCCCGACCATTTAGTGAGGATTTAAGATGGATAATGGTATTTCAGCGTTTGTTTTATGCCAGAACGTTCGAGGAAATATGTGATATTTCTTTTAGTCTAAATGCGTAAATGTGTAAATGTGTAAATGTCTTTTTTCGGTTGACAACGTTAATGACATTAATGACTGTATATAAAATTCTATCTAACAATTCATTAGTAATTAATACTGGGGAGATAATGTCATTTCTTGTCAGAAACAAGCTGTTTACCTTGTTTGAAGGTTTTCTTGCTTCGTTTAAAATCTGACTCCAAATAAAGTCTAGCTCGGAGTGGTAAGATGACGTACGACTTGGTGTAGTAGCCGTATCCATGGAGAACATTAGATTCTGACCACTAGATATTAATAAAACATGACTATTAATATATCAATATTGAATTATTAGTTATTAATGAAAATATTATTAATATATCATTTATAAATTAGCTGTATCCATGGAAAACATAGGAATTTGAACATTAGATATAGATAAAATATCAATAATAAATTAATAGAGTTTAGTTCAGAGTGGTAAGATGATGTATGACTCTAGGCATATCCATGGAAAACGTTAGATTCTGACCACTATATATCAATAAAACTATTATCAATATACACCTAATTGAAAAAACGTTGTCGGGTTCAAAAAAAGGTTATATCATCAAAGCTAATACAAAAGGGGAGTATGTGAAGACAAACAATTATCATGCTAATTTTATGCATATTGCAGTTTTCCCTTCCTGTGCACATTTTATGCATCATGGCTTTTAGCATGTTGTTAAATCTAGGTCGACCGAATTTTCTCTACTGTGCATTTTTACATGTCTATATGCAAATATAATACACATTTCGGAGTACCCAAAATCCTTTTCGGTCTTAGCTTCGATGATATGACCTTCTCGAAACCGACTACGTTTTTTCAATTAGGTGTATGTCTCGATAGACTGATTCTATAAGTCGTAGTTTTCGCTCCTTTGTGGGTTGTGCCCGCTCAACCATGTGTGTTAGCGATATCCAGAAGCGACAAAAGAGTGAAAACACCGACTTATGGAATCAGTCTCATGTCTCTAATATTATCAAGTACTCTTAACAAACCTTCCTTCAGACAACATCAGGATAATCCCATCCAGATTACTTTTCCCTCCAGTCTTCAAACTACCCACGTGAGTAGATAGCATGAGCCCTGGCTGAGGGTTACTGGGATTCTGGAGCTATTGAAACATGAAGATGAATCTAATTAATAAAACGTTAATATCAAAAGCATTGTAAGGGGTCGTTGTAAGAGAGCTGCTATTCCCCCCCCCCCCCTTCCTTACTCACGAATACAAAAACACACTTTTAAAGTCGTTCCGCCGCAGTAGGTACAGACCTTTAAAACGTTAATTAAGTCATCACACGTTTTTGATTTTTCGATTCTTCTTTTAAACTCCTTTGTACTGAATTCATCCATTCTGAAAGAAAGAAATGTTATAGACTCGATCAAAGAGTAAACTAAGAGACTATAAGAGCCCAGTCAATCAGAATAAGACCATACCACGTTACGTCACGTCACGTCGCGAACGTCATCGCAACCCTTTAGTGGTACGAGAAGTCACAGCGGCCATGTTGTTGTACCAAAACAATACATTTTCTATCCTCCGGGAATCGAACTCTATTGTTTGGTACACCAATATGCCTGCCTTGTCACGTGAGTGAAAACGCTCTATAATACTTTATTCAATTTTTCGTTATCCCTTTAAAGAATTAGCCATTCGGAAATTGAGGAGGAAAATGGGTTGATTTGCCTTATTTGTTTTAGTGGATGTATTTCCAAGATGGCGTCTATTTTCTCTCATAAAACAGCCCCAAAATGCACTGCAATGCCAACTCGACCCAGTTTTTTCTCAACCTCGGAATAGCTAATTATGCAATTTCTACAAGTTATACAACTCATCTTATGATGTCAAAAGCGTGACCTTTTTGCGTTTGTTTTCTTAATAAATTATAAAATTTAGGCAAAATTTGAAACAAATTAAACACTTACTTGTAAAAATGCAGAAGCATTGTCTTCGTAAATTGAAATATTTTATCAAAATATTCTGCGTATCGGATATTTTTCATTTGCCCTCTGTAAAACCAGAAAAGGTTAACTTAATTTTCTCCGAGGTTAGATAGAATTATGTCACATTTCTCCATGCCACAGAGGGGAGAGGCAGGGGATAACATAACTCATTAATAGTCTCCTTCACAGTTTTCTGCGCCATCTTGAAAGGCAGCCGTGCCATTGCCATAAGCTTGCAATGATAGAGACCTTTTTTAAACACCTTGAACATGTCTCTATCATTGTAAGCTCACCGTTCGTCTCGCTTCGATGCAAAGGCACGGCTACCTTTCAAGATGGCGCAGGGAACTGTGAAGGGGACTATTTTTGGTAACTTTTAATATGGCTGCCCCCTACCCCTCCCAACATTTCTGGTTCCTCGCCATGCCCCTGCTTCATGCAATCCCTTTAGCTGACATCTTGTATTCTTAAATTCTTTATCATTTTGTATGTATAAATAAGGACGTTCATGGACAAAACACCGCCATCGTCAGATTAAAACAAAATTGCATGAAAGTACAGCAGTATCATAAAAGAAAAATAAAAAGTGGGGGTCACCGACTTTGTTTTTTAAAAAGCTTGAAAAAGCTTGCGGTAAGAGTTTAAGTGTTTTGAAAAGTGTTTAAGAAAAATGCTTTTAAACCTTGCAGTTTGTTTGAAAACAAAGTATGTTGATGGCTGTTTGTGTGGACATGTTTTAATTTCACTGGGAAATTGCTGCTACAGTGATTGGTTCTTTATTAAACGAGTTTTAACCACGCATTCTTTGAGGTCTTCCATCTGAGTGATGGAGCGCACAAGTAAAATTGGATGCAAAAGTTCACAGATGCAGTGAATAGATCGTTTTCGAATTAGTCAAATACCGCTGTGTTCCTTGATCACATACTCATTTGTACAGGGTAAGCCTCGATGGGAGCTTCAACAATACAAACACTTTGAAATTCCAAAGAACTTCACTGGAACACATGAATATTCAAAGAAATCGAGCCACCTAGCCACAATATTTTTCCATTTCAAATCACGTGTAATTCTCTAATAAGATTCGTTGTTTGATACAATTCCGTGTTCATGCGCACCCACTAAACAAAAAAATGATACGCTAGGGAATGACGTGTGGTCTGTAATGGGAAAACAGTGTATCAGATCTATTGCTGGATTATACTCCAGTTTGAAGTTCTCTGTTGCTCACCTCGATTTTATGTAGAACATTTACGTGTTCCACTGAAGGTCCGTGGAATTTTAAAGTGTTTGTATTTTTTGAGTTGTGCATCCTTTACTTTACTTTTGGCATTTGTGAACATTTAGACACTCGAAAAAGGTCTATTGCTGGAGTATTGCTGGATCAATGCGCCACTTACTTGACGAGGGTCATGTGGACGTTGAACCCTGCTTTAACACTCTTGCCAGGCATTTTGTCCAACCACAGTACAGGCTGATCTGGATCAACGAATCTAATGATATGAAGATGAGATCGGTTAGGGAAAGGAAAGTAAAAGAAAGGTAAGGAAATAAAATGAATTATAAAGGAAAAGAAAAACGTTAAAAGAAGGGGAAGGAAAGGAAAGGAAAGGAAAGGAAAGGAAAGGAAAGGAAAGGAAAGGAAATCGAAAAAAAGAAGTAACCATTGGCAACAAGAAAGGAAAAAGAAAATCTATACCACAAACTTATGGAGTCCGAAATTGATTCTTATATCTTAAAATATAATTATGTAACATAAAAAAGATGTCATNGAAAGGAAAGGAAAGGAAAGGAAAGGAAAAGGAAAAGGAATGTCACCAAACGAAAGAAAAAGGAAAAACGAAAGAAAATTAAAGCAAAGGAAAGGAGAAAAAAGAAAAACAAATGAAAGGAAAAATAGAAAAGGAAAAGTGAGGAAAGAAAAAAGGAAACAAAAGCGAGACCCCACCTCACTCCCTTCACTCACCTTCGCCACTTGACAGCCAAATCAAACAGTTCTCTCCACGTCAATCTGTTTTTATTGTCTTTAGATGACCGTATTGACTTCCAGTGTTTATGGGCTACCTGTGCTACATCCAACATGCCTAAGCCCATAGCCCTGAGGTGACGCGTATTGGGCATAAATCCTTCTGTGTTGTACTGTATTAGGGAACCCAAGGTTGACGACTTACACACCAGTATCTTGAATGATACAGAAAATCATCAGGCGACAATTAACAATCACTGTTAACAGTGCGTAAACATTTTATCCCATCTATCAAACCCCATCTCTCCTCAACCACCGGTGCGCACATATTCCTTTTCTCCTTGCATTACAGGTATTCGCTGTCCATTCAACCCCTTAAAAATTATATTTTACAACTATCACTGCGCGTAAGCGGCTCTTCCGCGAGGTTCCCTCCACACTCACACTCACTACCACCACATTTATTTATTTACAACGTCACACAAAACTCAACTCACATGTTGATGATCAGGGAACAACAAAACAATCAAACTTAATTCACATTCAATGCAGTCGAGGACCGAAACCGCGACCTCAGGCAACACAGTGGTGAGAGAGTTAGCGTGGTAGCAGAACATGGGTGACAGCAACCCAAACTATCCCCCCCCTTCACCACTCTCCACTCAACCCTGGGTGTTGAAGTTTACTCTACGATCTACGTAATAATAATATTTTTTCTCCGCGTAGCCGCGCATTTAAACACTTCGGTCAGGAAGAGGTTACGCGGGGGTAAACCAAAGGTCTGTTTGCTGTGTGAGTCCAAGCCTCTGAAAAACTCATGGTACGGCCTAGTCCCGCCGTGATCATGACAGCACTGTATTCGAGAATTTTCACTGGCCAAAAAGTGGAGACAATAGAGACCTTTAGCGTCAGGTTTACCGCTTACCGCTAGGCACCAGGCCCAGAAACACCCCCGCAAACACGGAGAGACACTCAGCATCAGTGAAATTCAATATGGCTGCACTTCCAGCAACAACTTCAATATAACGCCTTGCTTAATGTCGAACGTTTGACGGAAAACGCCTGTCGTCGAACGGCATTTTGAGGTTTGCCGTCCCTAGTAAGATCGCCCTCCTAAAGGTCTCTAATATCTAAACAAACGTACCTGTGCATCGGGTGTTAGGTCTCCAAATGATACATCTTCCACTTCCCTAGAAGAAAATCATAAGTGTAACGGTAAGGAAGGTAAAATAGGCCACGTTTGAGATATTCAAATTCTAGCATAATACCGAGATACTCCGAAAGTAATGTTCAAAATTGCATTCAATTTCAAAAGGTTCAGTATAGATATAGTGTAGAATCGATTATACTATTGCTGAGTAGTGAACTGACAAGCTTTTTTACCAGTTTTTTCTTATTGCCGAAAGGTAGGAACGTCGTATGTTGTACATTATTTATTCCTACCAATAAATATATTTGGTGATCCACGTGTTTGTACCATACATGAAGTACCATACGACTATAGCTCAAAGTCTGAATTTTTAGATATCGAACGTGGCATCAAAGTCTGATTCAAGATGAGGGGGATGATAAAGATGGACGTACGATGACGTCATTTGTTTTCTTTTGGTGTTTCGAATTCCAGATGAAGATGATCATCAATGGAGCGTTTTCACCCATGTACCAAACAATGGAAACTTTCTGCACAGTTTTTGCATAAAAATAGAGTTCAATAGAACTCCTCGGTTCCATTTCAGACCACGTGTCATTCTCTTGAGAGTAATATTCTTTGTTTTTTGTCGTATCCATATTCATGTGTTTTCTTATGTGCAACCGAGCGCAAACCTTAAACAAAGAAATGATACTCAAGGGAATGACATGTGGTCTGAAATGGGAAAACATTACGCCAGAGCCGAGGAGGTCTATTCCCGATAGAAAATGTATTGTTTTGGTACACCAACATGACTGCTGTGACGTCACGTGAAAACTCTCTATATCAATAACAGCCTAGAGTAGTTACGTACCTTATATTCGGCTGTATGCCTGGTTGTTCAGTGTAATTCTGTCAATAACAAAATAGCTAAATCACTATATTTTCACTTTCAAGTATTGAGAAAAACCGTCTAACTTCCTCTTTTTTGTCATTTTTTCTTTTCCTTTCTTTTCTTTCTTTTTCTTTATTTATTTTTCAATTTCCATTCCCTATTTTGCTTCAATTCCATTTTTTCATTTCCTTCCTTCTCTTTCCCTTTTTCATTTTCCCCATTCCTGACTTGAATCAACCCTCGAGGTCGTTTCAGGGTTCCTTATTTTTTAGGGTTTTTTTTGAGTTCAGAGCTCGTGCTGAGGTATCCACTTAAAATTCAAGGACTATTCAAGGAGTATACAAGGACCCAAAAATGAATTTTCAAGAACTATGTTTAGCTAACTATGCCAAGGTTTTACACAGTGGTTGCACATGGGCGACTTTCAGATTTTCCAATCTTTCTGACTAGATCTATTTCAGAACCATGCAAGTAAAGATCAAAGCAAAAATTCAAGGAGTTTTCAAGGAGTTTAAGGAGTAGCACGAACCCTGATTATTACTTCTCTTAAGGCCTTGCTCCGACTTACATTTAAGTTAAGTGGGAGGCTTTTAACCCAGTGGTCTCTCAGACGTCCGTCTAAATCTACATCGGGTGAATATTCAGTCAAGGGAGTGTCCAGATAGGAATGCAAATAGCGGGAGTATTCTAAAGAGAGACAAGAGACTCATTAACGTATTAAGCATTATCGGGTCTCCTCGAGCATCATGCTTGGCCATGGCTTGCCTGTTCTTCATGCACGCTAAGATTTCGCTAGCAGACTGTAGCCCAGTATCACGCTTAAGCTGATCTAAAAAAGTAAGCTTTTGGCGTCCACGAGAAGCTCAATCTTGCCGGACTTATTAAGTATAGCATACAAAAAATATGGATATCAAAAGTCAATGTGAAGTAAGGGAAAAATAATTTCCCCCCCCCCCCCCCCACCCCCCTTCTAATGAGCCCCCAGTCCAAAAGCACTGGAAAAAGAGTTAACTCCTAGGGGGCTAATAGAGTAAATATATTAGGTAGAGGGTTCACCTCTAAGGTACTGAGCTTTGACAGTTATTCCATTCGATAGATATGCAGGTTCATCAACAATAATCTAAAACCAAAACAAAAAATCCAAATTAGGGCCCTGACGATGATAATATCAAGTGTAGGACTCAAAATTGAGATCTCGAAATTCTCGCAACTTGCGTCACACATTCGACAGGGAAAAAAATGAAGCAGAGGGAAAAATTTCAAAACGTTGAAACTCAGAGATAAAGAATAATAATAGTATTTGTTTGTTCGGCAATAGACACTTTTACCTTGCGCGTAATCTTCTCTCATTTCAGACCACATGTCGTTCCCTAGAGTATCATCTCTTTGTTTCAAAAACCGTTATAATCACAACCGTCAGTACAGCTGTGGCGCAGCTCAACGGGGTCGAACTGCAAGCAATGTGAAAGCGCCTGTGGGAACTGCTATACAGTCGACGCATGACCCCGGAGCTGTGCTCTTACCACTAAGTTTGATTTAGTCAGGGTTGGTTTGAGAGGAGGGAGGAAAAACCCTCGGAGTCAGACAGAGAACCAACCAACTCAGTTCACATGGGGCGACTGAATCAAACCTCGGACCGCAGATGAAGAGGCAGGCGTTTTACTACCATAGTTGTCCGACTCTTCACAGTTGTGAGTGAGAAGACATGAATATATGAATAAAGCCCAAACAAATGCCCTTATTCCTAAGAGAATGACAAATGGTCTGAAATGGCTGCGCTTAGATAAAGAGGTCTATGAAATGAAATGAAATACCTTCGTTGTTGCTTTGACAGCCTCGTAGAAGTTTCCAATAGCCGCGTAACACAATCCTTCCATGTAGACACAAGCTGCATTGTATGGGTCTAGTTCTAGACAAGACTAATGATATAACGATATGTGAAATAAATAAATGACATTCGCAGATCCAGCTTTCAAACGAACACATGACACACCGGGGAATTTTTGGAGCATTTCAAAGGGAAAATGGCGGACGCACACTAAAAATGTGGAGGGTTGACATAAATGAACCATTCTAATTTCCTAAAGCAGTTTATGTCCACTTAAACTCTTATACCCTACTCACACCAGACCTTTAGTAAACATATTTAAAAGTTATAAAGTTTTTAAACTTTAAAACTAGTGGCCATTTACACTAAGCGCACGGCTAATTAAGTAATATATCAAAAACGATTGCGAGAGCGTTTCACTAGGGTTTGCAAACACGAGAAAACATTTGAAAGCACGAGGCTGTAGGCCGATGATGGGGAGGGCTGGGCAAAAAGTTGCCAGAGAATTGGAGTCCTTTTGAGACCCAATAATTAATATGTAGATTAAGGAATATTTTCAGCGCCGGTGATGAACATATTACAAACACTAACTAGTGGTTTTCAACTCGTGTTTCATTGGGTTTCAAAATATCCATCCTTTTAATCTCAACAGTGTGCTCACATTGGTCGTTCCAGCCTTGTTTAACTAAACTAACAAGGGGAAGTAGTTTTAATCCCGTTAAAGATGGCGGTCAAACAACAAACCAAACAAGGTTAATTGGTGTGAACGGGGTAAAGGCCTCTTTTTCAAGGAGCGTTGGATACGAGCAGACTTCCCCTTCCTTCTCTCCTCTCTTTAAGCGAAGAAGGAGGGCGCGTACTATTTCCCCTCTCCGCTTGTACTAAAGGAAAATATACATGTACTATGCTTGCAGGCACCGATGTTATCAGAACTACAGACACCAACCTGGAAATCTTTAGCTGCCTTTTTGGGTTTCCCATTCATGTAGTGGAGAACACCACTTAACTGGAATGTCTGGCAAAATGAACAGAAAAATTTTCAAGAAAATAAAAGATAGTTAGGAAATCCTTTTTTTTTTTTCAATGAATAGACCATTCTCGAGTTCCAAATTACCACTGTGTTCCTTGATTACAGACTCATTTACTCAGGGTGAGCCTCGTATCAGTGTCTAAATATTCACAAATACTAATGGTAAAGTAAAGAATGCACAACTTTAACCGATACAAACATTTTGAAATTTCAAGGACCTTCACTGGAACACATGAATATTCTGCACAAAATGGAGGATAACCCTGAGCAACAGAGAACTCTAAACTGAAACCAGAAATGAAAAGAGTACCTCGAGAAGGAGCAAAGAAAATAGAGACAAATGGGAGAAGAAAATAGAAGAAATGGGAGAAAATTAAACGATCAAACAGTGAAATAAAGAAAGCAATAATTATATCGAATTTAATGAAATGAGATGTAAACATTATTGTCTCCCTACCGGTGCACTATCGGGTTCAAGAGCCAAAGCGGCTTTAAAATGTTCTAATGCTGTCCTTGCATCACCTAGTTCTCTATAGGCGCTACCAAGACTACGGTGTACTTCAGCATGGTTGGTTTGTGTCTTCAGGATCTTCTTGTACCATGTGATGGCTTGCTGCAATGATAAACGAATAGAATGGAATAGAATGGAATAGAATAGCTAAGAATAAAATAGAATAGAAAAGGAATAAAATGGAATGGAATGGAATGGAATAGAGTAGAATAGAAATAGAATGGAATAGAATAGAATGGAATAAGAATAGAATGGATTTAGGGAATGGAATAAGGGGGAATAGGAATAGAATGAAATGAAATGGTATACAATTGAATGGAAAAGGCAGAGGAATAAAATCAAATGGAATGAAATAGAATAGGAGAAAAATAAAATGAAATAGAATGGCATGACATGGAGTATGAATACAATGGAATAGATTGAAATAAGAATAGCACAGAACAAAAAATAGTGGCAGAGAACAAAACTAAAATAATATAAAACAGAATAGAATAGAAGGGAATAAGAATAGGATAAAGTAAAATAGAATAAAGGGAATTGCTACATGTTTTTCATGCCCCATGATGAAGACCTGCTCTGTGTATGCTGCACTATATATAAAATGCAAATGTGCCACTAAATAATTATCAATATACAATTAATTATTTTCTATTATGTCCATTTTCCACCCAATTATTTTTTTGTTTGTTTATTGTTATATCGTATAGTTTTTTAATAATTATATTTTTCAAGTTTCATAAATTCTACTTTTTGCTTTTGAGGGCCATAAGTTAGATAACTGAGATGTTAACTACACTGTATGTTACCCTCATTAAATAAAGATTTAAATAAATAATTAAAAATAAAAATAAAATAAAAATATTATTTACCTTGATCATACCCCTGTGGTAAAAGGATAGTCCTAAGTAAAGCATGGCAGTAGGTTCGTTAGATTTTTTCTCAAGAGATTTTTCGAACATCTTTGACGCTCCTTCATAATCCTATCAATAGAAAAAAGACAAATGAATGAAGGACTTTTCTGTCTCTTCCTGTACATTTATAGAATTTTTGCTGACTCATTACTTCTAGCAAAACATGAAGATGGCTAAAATGATAGTGATGAGGACAATAATGTCGATGATAATTTTCATAACAGTAAAGATGATTAGCAATAGTAGTGGTAGAAATGATTGTGTATCTTAATGATGGTAATGATAATTGATAATGGTGATGATAATGATAATGATGATGATGGTATCATAGGATGATAATGGTGATCGATGATGATGGTGATGGTGATCGATGATGATGGTGTTAATGATGATGATATGATGATGATAATGATGGTGGTGATGATTATGATGCTGATGATAATGATAATGATGATGGTGATGATGATGATGGTATCATATGATGATAATGGTGATCGATGATGATGGTGATGGTGATCGATGATGATGGTGATAATGATGATATTATGATGATAATGATGGTGATAATGATTATGATGCTGATGGTGATGATGATGATGACAACAATGGTTGCAGTGGTGGTGATGATAGACCTAATTCATCTTGGTGCAATATTTACCCATTTCAGACCATGTGCCATTCCCTAACAGAATAAGATTCTTTGTTTGAGTTGTATATATCCATATGCATGTGTCTTCTCAAACAGCACCATTAAACAAAGAAATAATTCTCTTGGAAATGACACATGGTCTTATAAAATGTGATTAAAAACATTGTACCAAGATGAGATGGTCTAATGAAAAGAATGGAGTAATGGCCAAAACCTATTAAGTACTGTATTCACCTCTGTCATAAAGAGCAAAGTTCCTTTCATCAAATATAATTCTGCTGATGGCTGCAGATCCAATGCAACTGTGATGTCGGCAAGGGCTTCAGGGATACGTCCTAATGGAGAATATACCTAAAACAACAGTTTTTTATTGAGCTGTCAGCATCTTTATCACATGACTATACATTCTGTGTATTTTTTATCTCTCAATTTAATCAAATTATTACTAACAATTTAATGAGAATATGAAAGGAGTAATTTTTATTATTATTATTTTATTTATTTAACCAATATGTTCTCATTGTTAGCTCCAAGAGCCATAATGCCTCATCTAGGGAGATCACAATATTATGATAATAATCATTATTATGTATTTATAAAATAGCTGTTATAAATCTCACATTCTGATTTGTTGGGAGGGTGTGCTTTATGAGAGCACACAGCATGCGCGCCCACTTTCTCCTTTTTCTTTTGCATCCAAAATAACGGTTATTGTAATATGTATTATATAGAAGAAATAAAAAACTTGTTTGCTCGTGCTGTGTGAAGCACTATGGGATTGGCAGAACACTCAAGAAGTGTTGAGAAGCATTCTGCTATTGTCCTAACATTTCTCTCGTGTTCTGCAAGCTTTACTTATATAACTCAACACAGCACATGGCACGTTTTCTACCCGGGGGGAGGGGGGTACTCCCCTATATTTGCTTGCCATAGAGGGTATGGTTTTCAGCGATTTTACTCTGGAACAGGTTATATAAAATCATGCTCGCTCTGGGACAGGGTATATGAAATCACGCTCTCTCCTCTCTGGAACAGGGTATCTATTTTCACAATACAGGCACTGGGTATGGTTTTCAGTGATCTTACTCTGGAACAGGATCTTTCAGCAATTTTACTCTGGAACAGGGTCAGGGTTCAGAGGGCTCAGCGGCACATCCCTACCCTAAACGGGCAAGAGTACCCTCCCCCTCCCCCCCTGGGGTTTTCTATGTCTTCAATAAATGCACAGCCTTGGAAATTCAAATCCTCCTGCATACATGTGAGAGGTACTGTGTGCATATTTGTGCTGAAACAACACAAAATTCCCTCCTCAGATCCTTCCTGACTCTTGAAAATACCAGTCTCCCCTAACGGGGAGGTATGAAAATTTTAAACTGAAAATAAAGAGTCAGTTATTCATTTGAAAATAGGAACATTTCTCACCTCTGCTCTTCGTATCCAGCCTTCAGGATTTTTTGGCTGATGTGTTATTACTGCTGAAAAGTCTCTGATTGCAGCTTCAGCATTCTTGTGATCCTTTGGGAATAAAAATAAAATTGAAAAAATTGGGGATTAACAGTGATTCTAATGAATTCCAGTTGAAATTTAGTTGTTGGTTTTTGTAGAGGGAGGAAAATGGGAGAACCTGGAGAAAAACCCTCAAGCACAGGAGAGAACCAACAAACAACTCTACTCGCATACGATCAACACAAAGCCCAGGAACCAAACCTGGTTTACATTGGTAAGAGGCAGGGGCTCTCAATTTGATGCAACCTATGCTTTATTTAAAAGATCAAGTCCATCAGAATGGAGTATATGTACAGGAGAGTACCAACAAAAAACTCTACTCGCATATAATCAACACTAAGCCCAGGAAGTAGGAAGCAGGGGCTCTCAATTTGATGCCACCTGTGCTTTATTTAAAAGTAATGATAAAATGGTAAATTACACACCGTGAAAAGCTCACACTAGTTTTTAGCTAATTATCTCTTCTTTATTTAAAAGATCAAGTCAGCCAGAATGGAGTATGTATGATTTAGTCTCGGCAATCGACTTATGTGTATCTCTGGATCAGATCTATATCTGATACAGCATGTCCTTTCTTTTTGATAACAGGGGGATAATGGTCAAAATTGGGTATTATTTGAAAAAGCTTGCAAGATATACATATAAGATTTTGACTTTTAATTAATTAAAACACCACTAACATACCCGGGGGGGGGGGGGGGTACTCCCCTAATTTTGCTATACGGGTATGTGCCTCCCTATAGGGTATGGTTTTTCGGCTTTTGGGTCTGGGGTAGGGTATCATTTTTTGACATTTTGTCTGGGATAGGGTGTCATTTTAGTCTGGGAT